GGAACAAAAATAGGATGAAAGATATTGCCTAAGGCCAGGGTGGGTGGATGACCATGTGAATGGTGGAGGAAGTTTTGGAATGTGGTCTGTGCCAGCTGGGAGCCAGAAAGGAAATATTATAAACTGGCTAAGAGCATTGTTATGAGTCTGGGGTGTTAACCAGGGTTATAATATTTTTGTGTGCTAGGAAGCCATTGTCTTTGGTTCTCCCACCATTGATGAACTGGAATTTAATAGAGTACAGATGGCCCTCCCCATTCGTGGACTTGGAATCCGCATTCTCGCTCTTCACGGGATGGCAAGCAGGGAGGGACAAAATGGCAGTGTGTACCCATGTGCAGCCCCACATGGGCGTACACACCATTATTTTCAGTGGAGCTCCAATGTTTGTGAGTTCCCATTTGTGCAGGGGGGGTCGAGAATGGACCCCCATGAATTGGGAGGGGTGACTGTATAGCATTTGATTCTATGGGGACTTGGTAAGTCCTCATGCCCAATCCATTGATTCAGTGTCTGCTCATTGCAGAGTTAATAAGGACTGTTGATAACAAGGTGCCTTGGAGGTCCTTTACTCCTAGGGTCATCATAAATCCAAGTTGACTTGATGGAAATTAACAACAACAACAAGCTCTAGTTAATATTAATGTTCATTTCAGCCTATGGGTAGACACAGGGTAGGTCAGCATATACTAGTAAATGATTTTTAGTAGATCATTTCTACAACGTTAACAATACCAAATAAAATTGTATTATATTCTGGCCATGGTGGCTCTGTGCTAATTGCTTATGGGTCAGATTTTGTGCTCCTTGCCTGTAAACTCTGAATATTAATTTCCTGTCTTTTGTTTAGCTCTCCTGGTCATTTTTATATTTTAAAAGCTCTTTTTTCCTTAGTGACCCAGACATAGATTTGTACGTGTAAGTTCAAGTTACTTCAGTCTCTGAGCTAACATTTAACATCTAGAAAGCTGCATTTGGTGAACTTTAGAGTTCTTGTAGATCTTATTACCCTAACAGTTGATGAACCTATTCTAGAGTGGCAGGGGATCATTGGGTAAACCTGTCCCCCATCTAATGATGGCCAGCTCCCAGCAACTCCAAGGGAATTATACTATCCATCAACATTTAGAGCAGGGGTAGGCAACCTTTTTGAGCTGGGGGCCGGGTT